CAAAGGAAAGGGCTACAGTCTTTTCTGATAACGTCTTTAAGAAAGCATCCATATTCCTGTTCACATAAATGACCAAATCAGTCATCTCACCTTGACAACCTAAAAAAAAGATCTGATTCATAGTATCATCGTATGTGTGTGGGTGTTGGAGAAAGTTTATTTCAAGTTCTCCTGTGCCTCAAAATAAAGTTTTGGTCACAGCAGTGATCCATAATGATAATGGAGTTGAACAATTTCTTCTGCCCAGTAATGGGTGATGCCGTAGCTGTTTAATATCACAGCCAGGGATCACAGCTTCTTATTTACATATTAATAGTGATACTAATGTAAACAAACCTACTGTGTTGCCAGTCATTTAAAAATATAATACAATTACATGCAATATATAATACCAGATAATGATAATAAACAAGTTACTGTTACTTGTTTATGTATACTATACTTTTATTATTTTAAAGTATACTCCATCTACTCATTAAAAAACTTTTACCATAAAACAGTGTGTGATGTTACATGGACAGCAGCCTCATGCAGTTCATGTTTGCCATGTCTGGATGGCATCAAGAGGCCATTCCAATTGATTGACCGGTATCATCAAGGTCTGTGGAAATCACTCTGTAATGATTGTGTAGTGACAAAAATCATGTGATAAGGAATTTCCAGAATGTGTCCATGTTGTTAAGTGATACACAGCTGTTTAGGTATGCATGTGTGTGTGTGTGTGTGTGTGTGTGTGTGTATGAAATGAGTATGTGTATATTTGTATAGTATACTATAGTACAGAATATATTTAGTAAGCACACACAGAGTAAATAATTTTATTTTATAGCATATTCAAAGCATTTTCACTTGAAAAAGTAAAACATAAGAAACAATATAAAGGCCCACTAAAGGATGATTAGAAAAATATATTACAATATTTCCATACAACTGAACATATTATAGTACATTTTTTAAAAGATGCTTTATTTTTATTGAAGTAGAACCAAATACAATATGAATTATTAAAGAAGATAATTGAGGTACAAAGTAATATGTGTGGTGAGTTACTATGGAAAGGATTTTTCCACTAAGAAGACAGATGTGCTTCTTTTTCACAGTACAGTTCTAGAAAGTTTCAAATGTGCCTGTTGGGGCTTAAAGAAGAAAGGAAAGATACTGTGAAATGTGAATCTTTTTAATCATTTGGTCATTTTCTGGGGGAGGTCCTTTTAATTTTTTATGTTTTCAATTCCAAAGGGATATCAAAAGCTTGTAAAAGCGGACTGGCCGTATGGATTTTGGTTTCCCAGACTTCACGCTCCAGGAAATCATCCCAAGTAGGAGGAAATGGAGGGATAACGGTCATATGGGTGGGCCGGCTGGTGTCAGGCTCCCAGAGTGCAGCATAAGCAGTGCAAGTTAGCTAGTAAGTGTGGTGTAAACGCTCATGCAGGACACTGCTTCTTCCCTGGTTATTTACGGCCTGCTGAGTGTAAGTGGGCCAGGGTTTCAGAGATGAATATGACAAATCTATTGTCATTATGTTAGGTTGTCTCAAGAAAGGAAAGCAGGGTTTGATGCAAAATGTAGATTCCTTCTACTCACAAATATGCAGATATTGCCAGACCTATTTTTAGGATGCTTGTGAGTATAAGAAGGGATGTAAGACCATAACAGCCGTACTATTGGCCATTTTTAAGGGAGCATCTAAAATGTACAGGGCACTTGTCTGAGAGATTTGCACACATTAAGCCTCTTAATTCTTACAGCAATCCTAAATACTGAATGAGTGCTTTCATTGACAAGAGCACTGAGCTTCCTAGAGATAATTAACTAACTTGGACTCACACCATCGTTAAGAAGGAAACTTAAGACTCAACCCCATCTGCCTACCTTAAAATTTTTGTTGCTCTTGTCGTTGTTTTGTTTTGTTTTGTTTTGGTATCAGGGAAAAAACTTGGGACCTTGTGCTTGCAAAGCAAGCGGCGGAACCACTGAGCTAAATCTCTGGCCCCCTTAAAAATTGTTAATCACAAAAATTTTAACGGCTTTATTGTGATATCATTGATATAGGGTTATGACAGATAATGATCTAATTATGCTAATTATTAATGTGATATTGTCCTTAACAAAATACTAACGAACACACTAAAAGAATCTTATATGGCTAAGTGAGATTTACTCCTGTGATAACAGCATTTATTCTTAGGATACAAGGATGAAGAATTAACACCACAGGATCACTTCCGAAGAAGCACCAAAAAAAGATTTGAAAAAATTCCATGTCTCTTCATTGTAAAAACTGACAACAAAACAGGTATAAGAGGAAATTATCTCAATACAGTTAAGATCATGTATGAAAAACTCCAAGTTATCCGTATATCAATAGGTCTTGGCATCAGGGCTAAAGGCATCACACTTCCTGACTTTAAATTATAACACAAGTCTACAATAAATAAAAACAGAATGGTAATATCATAAAAACATACATACAGCCCAGTGAGTCAGCATAAAGAACCCAGAAATAAAACCATACATCTACAGTTGTAATATTTAAGTTAAATTGTCAAATTGATCAGCTAGAGAGCCAGGTAAGACATTAGTAAAGCACACTTCGGGGTGTGTCTGGGCAGTCATGAAGGCATGGCCTAGTGTACTATACCTGGCTCCTGAACCCTTCCTCTCTGCCACTGTTTCCTTTGTTTCTGGCCTCCATCAGGTAAGCAGCATTCCTCCACCAAACCCTTCTATCACAAGGTTTCTGCTTTCAAACTGCCAACAATGGCCTAAACCTTCTGAAGCTATGAGCCAAATGAAACATCTTCTCTTTTAAATTGTGAGTATCAGCTATTTTTTTTCCCAGCAACAGGAGAGCTGACCAATACAATAGCTTCAACTTATATTCAGTTAGGATATCAAGAACACAATAAAGGATAGTGATAGCAGTTTTTAAAATGTTTTTTTAAAAAATTGGATATCCATGTGCAAAAAAAAATTAAATTTGGTTTCTATTTCATATCACACATAAAAATCAACTCAAAATGCTTAAAGACTTAAACATAAAAATTGGAACAATAAAATCACTAACAAATACATATCAATAATCCTTCTTGACATTGGTCTTAAAAATTTCCTGATGTGTGTGTGTGTGCCTCTCTCTCTCTCTCTCTCTCTCTCTCTCTCCTCTCTCCTCTCTCCCTCTCTCTACCCCACCTCTTTTCCTGTTTCAACATCACAGGTAGCTGTGATTAGAGATCTGCATAACTATGCCTGGCTTAGCAATAAGGTTTTTAGATATAATACCAAAAGCCTGGACAAGAAAAGCAAAAATAAACCTGAGAGATAACAACTAAAACACTTCTGCATAACAAAGAAAATGAACATAATTAAAATGGAATCTATGGAATAGAATAAAATACTTGCAAATCATTTATCTGAGAGTCATGTTCAAAGTATATAAGAAACTCATACAACTCAGTACCAAAATATGTGACTCAATTTTTAAATGGGCACTAGACCTAAATAAACAATTGTCAAGAAAAAATCAAGGCATACAGAAAAGTACCAAGCATCTGTACTCCTTAAAAAATATAAACCAAAACTTCAATAAGATATCACCTTTCACTTGTTAGGATGCCTATCACAGACAAAGGACAACAAATGTTTGGTACATAGAAACACTACTGAGTTTATATATTGATTTTGTATACTGTAACTTTATTGAAATCATGTATTAGTTCCAACAGTTGTGGAGTCTTCAGAGCTTTCTTTGTATATGACAATGACACCTACAGAGATACTTATTTTCTTCTTTTTTCTGTGGTTTTTATTTCCTTTCTTTGGCTGATTGCTCTGGTTAGGGCTACCAGCACTATTTTGAACAGAGGCAGGAAGATAAGGCATCTCTTTGTTCCAGGTCTTTATTTTTTTTTTTTAGCTTTAATTGAGTTTATTGGTACATTTTAGGGATACAGTACAGTTACATTCATTGTTGGGATCTTGTACCTCTACATGACAAGTCTTGGTTCTCATTTTTTTGTTCCAGGTCTTTAAATAAAAGTTTTCAATTTTTCTGCATCTGTTGAGGTAATCCTGTTTTTTTTTTTTATTTTGTTAACATTAAGTATTACCTTAATTGATTTTTCCCTTGACTTCTCTTGCACTAAATTTGTAATTTTTTTTTTAGCTTGGCTTGTGCTGTTTGTTGTGATTACATCTCTGAATTCTAGGAATAAATTTTGGTTTGCCATGGTATAGTAGTTTATTGAGGATTTTTGCAACTAATTAATCAAGGATTTGGCATATAATTTTCTTATACTGGATTTGTCTGGTTTTGGAATCAGTGTGGTGCTAGTCTCATAAAAAAGAGCTTGGAATGCTACCGTTTCTAATTTTTGAAGTGTAAGAAGAGGTAACATTAATTCTTCTGTGAATTATGGGTAGAATTCACACTTAACGTCATGAGGCATTAAGTACTTATGTTGTTGTTGAAGGTTTTGATAACTAATTTAATCTCCTTGAGTTTTATTGGTGTACTCAAGCTTTCTATTTCTTTCTGAAATAGCCTTGGTAGGTTGTATGCTTCTGAGAATGTGCCTATTTTCCCTCATCCATCTAGATAGCCAATTTGTAGACATATACAAGGTATAATTGAAAGATATAGTTAATATTTTAAATTTTATTACCATAAAAGTAATATACACATTGTTGAGAAATATAGGATAAGTGTGTTCAAAACAAAGGGGAGAATTTTGAGGTGGAATAATGGCAATGTGTCTTTTACTGTAATAAATTTCTTAATTTAAATAGTCCCCATAATTTGTGATCAACCTGCACTGATCAAGTGTAATCGTTCATAGTAGTTCTTTACGACAGCACAACATTTTCATGTCTTATTTCTACCATCTGGTAAGCATGATCTTGGGCCAGAAGCCTGTAATGTCAGAGATGATTGAGTTCAAACAAATGCCATTACTTCTGTGTTTTTTTTTCTCTCTCTCTCTCTCTCACCTTTGCAGGATCACAACCACAGCTGCGTGTATGATGGATCTTCGAAGATATCCTCTAGATGAACAGAACTGCACCCTGGAGATAGAAAGTTGTAAGTTACCTGTACAGGGGAATGAGAAAGAGGGATGATTGCTTGACCCAATTAAGTTTAACCTTTCATTAAGCTAATTGGTACTAGAATACTTTTAGCCACAGGCCCTGCCAGTTTCTCAAAGGATTTACATTCAGTGATATTTTCCTTTATATTGCTGGTTCAAGGGTCATTTCAATTAAGCCATCTTTCTGAACAATTAAGGAAAATCCACTTATTTTAGCCTTTTTTTTTTTTTTGAAACAGAATTTTGCTATATAGTTCAAGCTGGTCTTGAACTAACTATGTAGCCCAGTGTGTCCTTGAACTCCATGGTGATCCTTCTACCTCAGCCTCCTGAGTGCTGGGATTACAGGAATGTGCCATCACACCTAGTAGCCCTAAATTTTATAAGCACAGCTTTCTCATTCTTAGAGTTTTTCTACAAGCCTTCTAATACCCAAACTGCATTAATATAAGAGGAAAATATTTCAATATGAGAAGACTCTGTGTGAATGTTTTTGATTCTATCATCTGTTGACCTAAATGACTGTAAATTGTCTTTTAGAAAAATACTGTGAGAGAGGTGTGTTGAATGATGTGTCTCTAGTTGTGAGAAGAATAAGATGATAAATGATACTTCATGGGACTTGTATGTAGGGCCAAAGACTTAATGTCTTTCAGGTTTAGTGACTGACCTTAGTTTGTCTTCTCCGGCTAGCTTTTCACTGATTGCTATTTGTTTTGTTTTGCTTTGCTTTGTGTTTTGGTACTGGGGATCGAACTCAGACCTTGCATTTGTGAGGCAGTTGGCAGCACCACTGAGCTAAATCCCCAGCCCTCATCAAGTACTTTTTGAATGGAGTGATTTAATAATCTGATTGACTATCATTGTGTGCTTGTTCTCAGCATCAACCTGTAGGTAATTGAGCCCATTGATTGTTAATACCAAAGTGAGATCATTTATTTGTTTTCAGAGGTGCAGAAAGCATGGCAGATAATTCACACCATTATTCTATCACTCTGTTGTGAGAAATCAATATATGTACCTTTAAATCATCGGAAGTACTTTCTAGAGCCAAATGTCAAGAAGATAATAGAAAATGGAAAATGTCTAAATAACCCTATAGTTTTACTGAACAATGAATGTATTTCCTTAGTATGTGATTATTAGGCAAATATATTAATCTTCTAGTTTCACTGTGTATAGAAATACAAATCTACACACTTCTATAGAAAGAACTCTAAATTCAGAAATAGATTTTGCTCTACTAACAATGGACTAAGCCAAAACAAAGTGCATGAGCTATTCTTTAAATACTCTAATTTCAAAGCTCATTATATAAAGAAATTGGTAAATAAAACCATTATTTTGCAACTGGTATTAAAAGAGGATAACCCATGGACTGTTCATGCATATGGGTTAACTTCGGCCCTTGACTGCTTTTCATTTGACTTTGTGATGTTTTTTATCTTGGCTTCTCCTGAACAACATCAGGATCTGGCATACTTAAAACTTCTATGGTTTAAAAATTCTTAGGGTTTGTATTATCCCCTTAAAGAAACAATACATTTTGACAGGTACATGAACTGACATTGTGTTGTAAATTACAAGTTCTTAAATTACTGGCATTTTCTCCCAAGTTTATATGTTATTTATAACGCACTCTGAATTTTTTTATTGTTACAAGTTGACATTTTTGTTAAGTTGGCAAATTTCTTTATTCATATTAGAAAATAGAAGACTTTTAGGTCTTTATGTCATATCATAATAACAAAAACAACTATAAATGAAGTAGAAATTAAACATTTCTTTTGTGGAGCAGGAATAATGAATTCCCAAAGAGCAAAATAGCCAAAATAATCACAAAACGATGTCAGATAATATACAGTGACAAGCCTATGATGATCATTGATGCAGTTCACTAAGGTGCATTCAGTCTTCTGTGAGAATGACACTAAACTCAGCTAACAAGCAATACTACAAACAGTTGATAACCATTATGAAAGTGGCCCAGCAGCAGGTCATGGAACTCCACTCCCTAAAAGTACTTACATAAAGCAAAGCAGAAATCTCTGCCAGTAAGAATTTTGTGTCATAAGGCGTCTATGAAGGTCGGAACTTGGGGGTGGGGGTGGCTCTACCTTAATTTGCCAAAGTAAAATGAGGCATTAAATAACAACTCTGCCAAGAAAATATTCTAACAAGATTTGAATGATTTGAGATTCAGAGAAATAAAATAACTTACTCAGCACCTCAGGGCAAGGACAGCAGTAGAGTGGGGTGTCAGACCCAAGCGTTCCTTTCTCCTACAGAGGATCCTGAAACAACAGGTGAATAAGAGCACAAAGGACTAGTGACCAGAGGTGAAGGGCCAACTCGAGCCACTATTGACCAAGTTGGGAATGCAACCAAACATTAGTCTACATTTCTTAAAATTATCCCCGTTAAAGGTCAGAATTGATCCCAGAAACTGAAGCAGAATTTAGCTTTTTCTTTGTTTTGTTGCACTTTTTTGTTTATTCATTTGCTTTTTGAGACAGGGTCTCACTATGTAGTTGAGACTGACCTGGAAATCACGGTGTAATCCAGGCTGGTCTCGATCTCACAGCAATCCTCCTGCCTCAGCCTCCGGAGTGCTGGGATTAAAGGTGTGAGCCACCACACCCAGCAGAATTTAGCTTTTAGCTCAAGGTTCAAATCATTACAGCTACAGCTTCAATGTAACTTGTGAACACAGAAAAGCACACAGGCCTTAATTCCTTCAACTATTTCTTTACAAAAACAAAACCACCACCCCCAAAATCAACCTCAATATTAGCCTCAATATTTTGCTTAAAATGTATCCAATTCTTAGCAATGGAAAAAAAACAATCTAAAAAGATCTGAAATCTTAAGAGTAATAATCCCAAGTGGTAAAAATATGCACCAAAAATAGGGATTCTGAATGAGCTTTACTTGTTTTTACCCAAGGGCAGGCTATCGTAGTATTAACAAATACAGAGCTAGTATTCACCTATTTTTAGACTCCTTGCAAAGAAGCTTGTATGATTTATGAAACAGTTCTCCCTAAACTGACAGTGAATCAAGACCACAACTGAGTTATAAAGTAATTGCAAATAGAATCCTCAGGCCAGGGATTTAGCTCAGTGCTTCTGCTGCCTGTCTTGCAAGTGCGAGTTCGATCCCCTGTACCAAAAGCAAACAAAATAAACAAAAAACAAATAAGATCTTCAAGTGTCAGCTGGAAAATAGGAATGATAAAGTAAACTTTCCAAAGATAGAAGATTGAAGCATTTATACTTACTGTGATCAACAGAGAGGAAACTCTGCTGATATTTCAAAATTTGCTGCTGGGTTGTATGCTCTTCCAATCCTAGGCTGGGGAAATGTTTTCCTTGGTTTGGTCCTTTGAGACAAATTAAAGATCCTTTGCTTATCTTTAATGACATCCAATCAAGTAAAATTGGAAGGCCATAAAGTCTTGTTAAATTGAAAATTTACTAGAACTTGGAGCAGATTAATAGCTTCATTGCTCTGGAATGCTATAAAATGAGTTACTGGTATGTAGAAAAATCAATATCGAGGAATTTAGTCTACAGAAGATTTGGAATGTGAGATCAATAAAGCTGTCCTGTGAAGGTTTGATAGCCACAGCCATATGAAGAAATGGACCCGGCTTAGGGTAACAACTGTGGAGAGGCCACCTGCTTTTGCTCCTTTATGTGCAGCACAAATAAGGAAAATTTTTACCTAATCTCACCTTCTCACTTTCAGCAGATCACATCATGTCCCAGTGTACTCACAAATGCAGAAGGCATTTCAATTCTAAAGTTTTTGTGTTCTTGCCCATCTTCTGAACTTTCTTATTCAGTATCCTAATCCCTATATGTCAGTTTTTTTGTAGTATGACTCTGCCCTCTGTGTTTAGGATTGCACCTCTTTCTTCTTCCTCTGAGAATTTATTATTACAGTTCACACACATCTCACCCAATCTCTTTAGATATCTAATCTTGCCCTTTCTATTAACTCTTACTCATAGCCCATGAACAAGCTAAAAACTCTTCTCATAAAATACCTACACTCTACCCTCATATCTGCCTTAAGCTTATTTATTTATTTATTTATTTATTGCCTTCAGCTTTTTCTTAGTCTCCCTACATTTTTTCTCCACAACCTCTTTGAAAGAATGATCTATATCTGTTATCCATTGCTTCAACTTCCTCTCCACCCACTGCAGCCTGGCACCTGCTTACTTCCCTGCCCCCTTGGCTGAAACTGTTCACAGGAGAGAGTATGTCTTTCCATTCTCTTTTAATTTCAGTGATTCTCAGATTTAATCTCCAGCTCAGATTCTGTCTGAGCATATTCATGTACATAATACTCTTTGAAGCATAATTATTTTGATTTTTAAAGGCATCTTAATTTTCTCAAAACTTAGATTCCCACCCCAAATAAATTGATTTTCTAGTCTCATTTATCTCCTTTCCAACCACAATTTTAGGGCTAATTGTCTACAACTCCCTCTGAATCACATTCCTCCTATATAATCCACTCTTAAGTACCACCCATTTTACCAGAAGTTTATTTATCAAGTTCTTCCATTTTTTTCAGTCTCACTACTTTCCATCTTCTCCACACTATCTTTACTTCTTCCCTGGACCACAGTAGTCGTGTTTATTGGCCGTCTTGTTTTCATTCTTGAACCCCTCCAACCTAATCTCTACCTCACAGCAAGAGTGGGTTTTGCAATGTGTGAGTTGGATCATAATGTTACTCTGTTTAAAAATATTTAGAGATTTCTCTTCTCACCAAGAAAATTGCTGTACCTCTTAATTTGACTTTTAAATTCTTATGTGACCTGACATCCCTCCATCTCTCCAATCTCATCTTTGGCCATCTTCCCCTCTCTTATTATATTAAACTCCGATACCACAGACTTCATATCTTGCAAGTCCAACTTTCTCTTTTCATAATCTTCGCCATCTTGTTTTTTTCTAATTGAATTGTTTATACAAGG